ATATAACATAAGGACAATAAAAATTCCATTATTGTCAGAAAGATTACTTTTCGTGAATTCAAGGAATTAAAGAACTTCTTTCTCATACGTCATGCCTAATCTATCAGCTTTCATCCATCTACGATCAAACAAAAATCAACTACTATCTCAACAAAATTTAACATTCAATCGCAATCTAAATAACAACAAGCAACACTAAAAGTCAACACGCCTTCTAACATGAATAGTGATGAAGTATTTTACGACCGTAACTGTGAAGAAGAAGAAGAAGAGTCAAAGAGAGTTTTGTGTACCCTTGCAAGTTTCGTCTTTCCCCTCCTTGAACGAACATGATATGATGGAGTTTGATTTGTGTGTTTATAGATTGGTATTTGTTTTCACATTCTTCTACTCTAAAAAAGTATTTTTGCTAGGGTACTGTTATGTTATGAAGAAAAAACTACAACTTCTTATGTTTCAATTTAAGAGGAAGACTTTTCACAATGGATGATGATAACAATCGTAGCGATATCTTATACATGTTACGACAATTACGGTTTCCAATCGCGGTGAAAGGTTATTGTGATTTGCCTATAAAGTTGAACATGCACATCATTCACCTTTTTACAAACTAATTTGTGAAATTTGTGTGTGTCGGTATTCGAAGATTGTTCATGAGATATTGCACACAAGAGCGTCTATTACATTGTAAAAACTGAGCGTCTCATTTTACTACGGTTGGAAAACATAATCACAGTAAAAAGTAGTTTAATTTTAATATAAATATAAAAATTAAGGGGACATACATTTTTTTAGAATGAAAAAATGCAAAATAAATTGTGTTAGATTTGAAGCGTGTCACTCCTTAACCTATTACCACAATTGTTAGGTTGGACACTTAGTGTTTTAATAATTAACACAAAACTAAGGACGTCTAAGAGTTAGGTTGACACGTTTTAAAACAAAAAATTTATATATATATATATATATATATATATATATATATATATATATATATATATATATATATATATATATATATATATATATATATATATATATATATATATATATATATATATATATATATATATATATATATATTCCAAAATTACCATTAGCTAAAGAACATTTAGTGTATTTCGTTGTGATTTTTTAAGGTCATTACTAGTATCAGTTTTTAAGTTGTTGTATCTAAAAAACTAAGTCTCAAAGTAAGTGAAGCCGCCAAATTAATTTGGTTTGATTCTGAACGACATGCATTAAGTCCAATTTCCCTAATCACGCTTAGCTTCATCTATCTGTTTAAGACTCATGAATAATGCAGTGATTTGATTTAAGGATAAGATGACATGATATGAACCATGTAGGGAATAATCTTCCAAATAACACACTTTGTCCATTTAATAATTTACTGTTAAGGATAAATGACATTTGGTTTATTTGGACCTATGAAACTTGAAAGACAAATGCATTTTCATTATCAACTTTTGGATTGGCGTTTAGCTTTTGTAACAGAATAACTTTGGCTTGACACGGTGACCCTGATAAGGACACCTTCCTTTTGAAACAAATCTGATACAACTAATCAACAACCAAGATAAGTTCCATGGAGGAGAAGAAAAGAGTAAAGTTATGCACAATAATACAAGACATGACCATTCAGATTCATAATAACTTACATTACTTGCCGTAACGAAGAATGATAAAATTCTGTATGTATATATATATATATATATATATATATATATATATATATATATATATATATATATATATATATATATATATATATATATATATATATATATATATATATATATATATATATATATATATATATATATATATATATATATATATATATATATATATATATATATATATATATATATATATATATATATATATATATATATATATATATATATATATATATATATATATATATATATATATATATATATATATATATATATATATATATATATATATATATATATATATATATATATATATATATATATATATATATATATATATATATATATATATATATATATATATATATATATATATATATATATATATATATATATATATATATATATATATATCACTACAAGAAAATTTGGATATATATATATATATCACTACTATCACTACAAGAAAATTTGGATATATATATATCACTACAAGAAAATTTGGATTTGTCTAGTGATTTAGTGACGTGGTAAACACGTGGGAAAAAATAGGTTGCGACGTGTAAACCACGTCGCTATAATATTTAATTAATATCTCCTCCAAACTTAAAATCTGTAACAATGAGTGTTGTTTTTAGGGGGAGGAAAATTTGAATTTTTCAAAAATTTAGTTATGGCGTGTTAAATACATGAGAATAAAAAATTCAAAAAAGTCTTTCTATTTGCGACGTGGAGAACAAGTCACAAACTACCCACATGAGAACCACGTCGCAAGTTTAAAAATAATAAAGGTGATCAGCTTTTACTTTTCAGACACATTAATGATGTTTCAGATTTTCCATGTGACTCCCACGTCGCAAATGAGACACATTAATATTTTAAATTTTTTTTTTTACCGTTGCTTTGCCCTTTAATATTGCAACGTTAATATATAAAATGCTGGGAAAGTTCCGACGTGCAACTCACGTGGCAACTTTCCCATGGGACAATCACGTCGCAAATAAGAGAATCTTGATAGGTTCCGACGTGGTGTTCACGTGGGTACGTTCCCACGTGTCTACCACGTCGCAAATGTTGCTATATATCCAAAACTCAGAATCCTTTCACGCATCCTCCTTTCTTCTTCCTTTCCTTCCTTCTTGCTCCTTTCCTCCTCCTTCTGCGTGTTCCTCTCCTCCATTGTTGAATCAAATCTTCACAAATATTTTGAGGTAAATGTTACTTTCTTTGTTTTTGTTTTTGTTTTACATTTTATTTTAATTTTTTCTTATTATTAATTATTATTATTTTTTTCTTCAGATCAAAGATTAAGAACTTACTCCATTGAAGCTTTAGGAATTTGCTCTATTGAAGTATTTACGCAATTAAATTTATTTATTTTTCAGATTTATAAGAATATATGAAATGTTTGGTTATTGATTATAAAACTTTAGATTTGTTGTTGTTGTATTTAAATATGTAATGTTGTTTGGGTGTTTGAAAGATAAAATTAAAAATATTAGAAGATATATCATATTAAAAACAAAATATATATTAGAAAAATATGTAATAGAATATATATTAAAAACAAAATATATAATGTTGTATTTAAATATGTATTTAAAATTAAAAACAGAATATATATTATATTTAAAAAAGTAGAATTTTTAAAAATATTTTAGTAAACAAAATTGTAAATAGAAAAAATTAAAATGTATTTTTTAAAAAACATAATGAATATGTATTATATTTAAAATGTGTTATTTTAAAATGTGTTATTTTTAGAAAAAGTATTTTTATTAAAAAATAATAAATATGTATTATATTTTAAAATGTGTTATTTTTAGTAAACAGATTATATATTATATTATAGTATTATATTATAGAATATGTATTATATTTTAGTAAACATAATATATATTACTTTAGTAGAAATTAACGTTGATAGTTTAGGATAACATATGGGGAGGCGAGGATGACCACCGAAGGTGGCGTCGACGCTGTCATCATCAATCAGCAACAATGATAATGATATACCATCTGGACGCGAATGTAAGCAAAACACCTAATCAGCATGAAACAGAGGAGCCAACAAAGGAGATTGAAGAAGTACATAAAAGCACCGAATCTGGAACCCTAATTTCACCAAAAGGGGCAACAGAACCTAGAAGACTATGAGTCGACGTTATAAGTGGAAATCGAAATCCTGGGAACGGGTTAACACTGGAATTCATTGCACCAATGATTGTTAATGGTATTGCAGAAGTACTTATTGAAGAAGCAGATACTATAAAAGAGGTGAAATTCTGGGAGATGGCATTGATCATGTATGTAATGGGAGGCGATCTAAGCATGAACACGGTCAAACAATTTATGCTAAAACAATGGAATTTCGTCAAATTGCCTGACATGTATTACAACAATGAAGGATATTTTGTACTGAGATTTCATTCACACAAGGAGAGGGATGATGTACTCGTGAAAAGGGCCTTACACTATACGCAATATGCTGATGTTGTTAGCTGAATGGAAACCAAACTTCAACTTGAAGAATGATATGTTGCGTACAATCCCTGTTTGGATTCAACTACCTCAATTGCCACTGCACCTATGGGGAGAAAAAAATTGGGGAAGATAGCGAGTGTCTTGGGCACCCTTTTGATGACTGATGAATGCACCGCTAACAGGTATCGTATCTCATATGCTAGAGTTCTAGTAGAAATTAATGTCACACAAGAACTCATTGCTGAAATCACTATAACAAACGGGAAAGGGGAGAAGATGCAACAACGGGTAGAATATGAATGGCGACCTCCATACTGCACAAAATGTCAGCGGATTGGGCACAAATGTGAGGAGGAGCAACCAAAAAAACCCAATAAAGAAGTGGATCCCCAAAGAGAAGAAGCATCAAGACGAGAGGGTGGCTGCAAAGGAAGAGGAGACCTTGAAGACACCAACACAGAAAATAGCAGTACAGGAACATCCTAAATCAGGAGCAATCGTGCAAATGACGAACATCAAACAAACAGGTACAAATGAAGATATGGCGTGGACAGAGGTGAGGAGAAAAGAAAAAGATAAGGCCAACGGTATTGATATTGGTACAAGTCCAAAATTCAAGAATTCAACGAAGAACTACGGGAACTTTTATGCAGCACTCGGGGATGGTTCAGCCTCGGTGTTCCAAGAAAATGTCCCAATAAAGCGGGCAAAGTTAGGGAGACCAGCTTTCGTCTCCAAAAACTAACCCCTGCAGTCTCTGTGTTAATCGAGACAAGAGTAAAGGCGAAGAATGCTAGTTGCATTCGACGGAAAATGAGATTAAAAGGCAACTATATGGATAACTATTCAAACCATGAAAATGGAAGAATATGGATCCATTGGGATGATAATAGAAGGAACATGGCTCTCTTGGAAAGCACGAATCAGTTGATTCATTGTAAGGTCAATGATGTCAATGGCAATTTCCTGTTTTGGATGACAGCCATTTATGCACAAAACCAGCTGCAGCGCAGAAAGGAATTGTGGCGCGACATAGAAAAGATAAATGCACAGCAAAATGGACCTTGGATCCTAGTAGGTGACTATAAAAATGTGATGAAAACTGAAGAGAGAATTGGCGGTAATGACGTTACAGAGCACGAATACATAGACTTGATTGAGATGATGAGTAAAACGGGACTATATGAAAAAGATAGTGGGGGAGACTACTTCACATGGTCGAATAAACAGGGAGATAATGCTATTTACTCTAGAATTGATCATGTCATATGCAATGTTGAGTGGCTACAATAAAATGGAAATACAAAATTAATGAATATGAACCCCAATATATCTGATCATGCCATGCTTGTGTTACACGACAATATTGAAGTCCAGCAGCCTAGCAAAGGATTTAGATTCATAAACTGCTGCGCAGACTTGGATAATTTCCAGGAAGTTGTCAAGAACAGTTGGGACATTCCGTTAGAAGGAAGACCAATGTTTGTTGTATGGAAGAAATTGCAAACACTACAACCCCACATCAGGAAATTGAGCAAACCGCTGGTTGAGATTCACAAGGAAATTGCACGAGCTCGTGATGATCTGAACAAGGCGCAGGATAATTTAATGACAGATAGATTGAATGGAGACAAGATTAATATGGTGAAAAGATGTTCTGAAAATCTTATTACTTTGCAGGAGTTGGATGATAGTATGGTGAGGCAACGAGCAAACATTAATTGGCTGCGACTTAGTGACGGTAACAACAAATATTTCCATGCCTCTATAAAGATGCGACAACAGCTTCAAAACATGACAAAACTTCAATGAGCAGATGGAACCATTGTTACAGATCAGCAAGGAATGGAAAATGAAGTAATATCATTCTACAGGAATCTGATGGGTACAAAACTGAACCAACTTGAAGGTATTGATACAGAAGCAATGAGGAAAGGCAGGCAATTGGAAGCTGCGCAGAGAGATATACTAACGAGTCATATAACCAAAGACGAAATCACCATAGCTCTAAAAGGCATTGGTAATGATAAGGCACCTGGCATTGATGGGTTTGGAGCTTATTTTTACAAGAAAGCCTGGAATATCATTAAATTGGATGTTATAGCAGCTGTGCAGGATTTTTTCAAGCATAACCATATGTATAAAGCTGCTAACTGCTCTGTGGTCACTCTTATTCCTAAGGAAAAAGGAGCGAAAGAGATACGAGACTATCGACCTATTGCGTGCTATAGTACCCTGTACAAAATCATACCCAAGATTTTATCCAACCGACTCAGCAAAGTGCTAGGTACGATAATAGGTGCGAATCAAGCAACGTTTGTCAAAAGGCAGAGAATTCACAACCATATTCTAATCACGTATGAATTGATTAAGGGATACGAAAGGAGGAATATTTCTCCTCGGTGTTTAATGCAAATGGACATTCAAAAAGCGTATGATACAGTTGATTGGAATGCGCATGAAAAGATTTTGAATGAGGTGGGCTGCCCACAACAGTTCACTAAATGGGTGATGACAATGGTATCAACTGTTTCTTATAGATTTAACGTCAATGGCTATCAAACTAACATCATGGAAGCGAAATAGGGGCTTAGACAAGGCGATCCGATATCACCTATGTTGTTTGTCATTGTAATGGAATGCTTGAACAAATACTTATACAAGATGCAGGAAGATTGTGATTTCAATTATCACCCTAAATGCGATAAATTGAAAATCACAAACCTTTGCTTTGCAGACGACTTACTTATGTTTTCCAGGGGAGATAAAGTCTCGTTTGAAATGATGATGAAGACTTATGGGAAGTGTTCAAAGGCTACAGGGCTTGCAGTGAATCCACAGAAATGTCGAATTTATTGTGCTGGCATGGACGAGTTGACAAAGCAGAATATTATTAAAGCCTCGGGGTTCCAAGAAGGGCGACTGCCTTTTCAGCATCTAGGGGTTCCGGTTACAGGTAAAAAAACTCTCTGTGCGTCATTATGCACCGTTAATAGACAAAATCATGGGCATGATAAAACATTGGACTGCTCGGTTATTGACCTACACGAGGAGGCTTCAACTCATTAACTGTGTTATGTTTGTGATAAAAAATTACTGACTCACTTGTTTCCCCTTCCCCAAAACTATAATTCAAAAAATTGAATCGATTTGTCGCATTTTCCTCTGGACAGGAGGTTTTGAGGGGAGTCGTAAAGCACCCGTAGCGTGGAAATAGATTTGTAGTCCACGAAGTCATGGCGGGATGAATGTCGTAGACATTGAAGTTTGGAATAAAACAACTCTTATGAAGCTGCTTTGGAACTTGAGTGGGAAGGAAGATTCGCTTTGGGTTAAATGGATACAAACGTATTACATCAAAACCAACGATCTGATGGAGATCCAGTGTAAAAAGAGTGATTCCTGGATAATGAAAGGTATTCTCAATCTAAGGGAGGAGTTTAATAACTTGAGAAATCTGGAAGAACTCAAGATGGGGGGGGGATTAGAATGAGCAGACTGTATGCGAAACTACACGATTGTGGGCAGCCGGTAGAGTGGAAAAATTTGGTTTATGGGAATAACGCGAGGCCGAGAGCCAATTTCATTTTATGGCTTACTTTCCATGGGAGATTAGCAACGAAAGACAAATTGCATAAGTACGGTATGATTGATGATAATGAGTGTTGCTTCTGTGCGAAGGAAGAAACATTAAACCATTTATTTTTTGAATGTGAAAGTCTAAAGAGCGTATGGAAAGAGATCCTAAGATGGACACAAATTAACCATACCCCTGGAAGTTGGCATAGCGAGATAAAGTGGCCTATTCAGCAAACCAAAGGTAAAGGATTCCGAGCTGCAGTCATAAAAATGGAAATATCTGAGATCATCTATGAGATCTGGAAAGCTAGAAATAACAGAATTTTTGGAGAGAAGAATGAGATCACTACAAAAGGAAGGATAGTAATAGATACTTTAGTGTATAGAGGATGGAATACTAAAAAACTCAGGAAGTATATAACTATCTTAATGATAGAGGGGGATAGATAGATAGTTAGTTGTTCTTCCTTTTTTGTCCTTGGATGTCTTGTTTTGTAGCTGGATCCACTAGGATCGCTTGTATCTAGAGACAATTTTGATTAATAAAGTATTTTATTTTCCAAAAATATAATACATATTATTTTAGAAAAAACAGATTTTTAAAAATAATGAATATATATTATATTTTAAATGTGTTATTTTTAGTAAACAAATTATATATTATATTTTAGAATATGTATTATATTTTAGTAAACATAATTTATATTATTTTAGAAAAAATAGATTTTTAAAAATAATGAATATATATTATATTTTAAATGTGTTATTTTTAGTAAACAAATTATATATTATATTTTAGAATATTATATTTTAGAATATGTAGTATATTTTAGTAAACATAATTAATATTATTTTAGAAAAAACAGATTTAAATTTGTGTTGAAATAGATTTAAAATAGATTTTAGTAAACATATTTTATTAGGTTGGTGTTGAAATAGAAAAAATAGATTTAAATTTGTTAAATTAATGTGAAAAGAATTATATTATTTTGCATATTAAAATCACATATATTTTTTTTAAAATGATATATAATGATAGTACAAATGTACAATAGGAATATTTTCGTTACTATCGTAGTTGGATGTACGATAGAACGTTACGAGGCAGACGTGGACTTACACCAAATTTTGAGGAAGGAGTTAAGGGGTTTATCACGGGGGCATTTGCACAAGAATGTTGTCGATGTGAAGGAAGAGTAAGATGTCCTTGTCTTAAATGTGAATGTAAACCTATAATTAGTGACCCAGAGGAAGTAGAACGTCATTTGAAGAGGAAGGGTTTCATTAAAAATTATTGGGTTTGGACATATAATGGAGAACAACTGTCAAGTAACGTACATGCAGAGACAACTAATACACACACATCAAGCGGTCGATCATATATGAAATTTGAGGAACAATTTAATCTGATCAATGATATGGTTGGCAATGTATTTGGAATAAATGTGGCATATGATGAACCTTAGGATTTTGATGGGGAAGAGTTGCCGAATGAGGAAGCACAAAGATTTTACCAATTGTTGAAAGAAATGAATACACCGTTGTTTGAGGGCCGGCAGATTCAAAATTATCAATGTGTGTGAGATTATTGGCCGCAAAGTTAAATTGGAATAAAAAACATATTTTTAGTTGTGGCCGCAAAGTTAATATATATATATATATATATATATATATATATATATATATATATATATATATATATATATATATATATATATATATATATATATATATATATATATATATATATATATATATATATATATATATATATATATATATATATATATATATATATATATATATATATATATATATATATATATATATATATATAAAATTATTATTATTATTAAATTTTATATTGAAGTGATAACCATGTCACTAATATAAAACATATTTTTAGTTGTGGCATGCAAACCACGTCACTAATTAGTGGCGTGGGAAACCCATGGGAACATTTTCATTGATGTCAGATATAACATGCTGCAGACATCTTGGGAAAGGTGATTTCCCACGTGAAAATCAAGTCACTAATTAGTGACGTGGTTTTCACGTGGGAACATTTTCTATTATTTTGGTTGTTTGCGACGTGAATCCCATGTCATAACTTAGTGACGTATTTTTTACGTAGGAAAATGTTCCCACCATTGCTTTTCCGACGTCTTTACCCACGTCGCAAATTTTGCTTAGTGAAGTGTTTTTTGGCTTAGTGACTGAAAAACATGTGGAAAAACGCAATGTTTCTTGTAGTGTGTGTGTGTGTGTGTATATATATATATATATATATATATATATATATATATATATATATATATATATATATATATATATATATATATATATATATATAAAGAATTTTATCATTTTTTTTACCGCATGTAAGTTATTTTACTATTAAATGTCTCATTTGTATTTTTTTTTAATTTCAAAATAATTGTTTCTTTACGATATTAATGCAATATTTATTAATATATTATTATTATTATTATTATTATTTATTAAATTTTATTTTATTTAACTATTCTATAAATTATAATTAATAAAAATTTATTTAACATAATTGGAATTGGTTACAAATAAATTCTTTCTATTTAAATGAATGTAAATTTAGTTTATATACATAATTAGAATCTAAGATAAAACTCAAATGCACTATAAACTCACATGACACTTAAATGAAATGAAACTAATTACTTGAATTTGAATTACAC